TTGGGAGGGGAGATTTTGCTATGAAAGGAGAACTTCAGGTTAGTTTTCAGACCAAATCCAGCAGACCATCCTAGCATGTAGGGTCAGAAAGAATTTCCTTTAAAAGTGAAATTTAAGCATATAGCATTTCTTAGTAGGGTCCCTATAGACATCTTCATTAGGATGATGCTTCCTGATACAGAATGCCTTGAAATCTGTAGGACATTTGCCTGTCTAGACTCTTGCTCACTAAGTGCAGCAAAGCTCTGTAGTCACTACAACCATAATAAACTTTCCACACAACTCCAAAAACTTCCTGGGGAACAAGAGTGATCCTTGGGGCCGGCGCCATGGTGCAGTAGGTTAATCCTCCGCCTGCAGCGCTGGCATCCCATTTGGGCGCTGGTTCTAATCCTGGCTGCCCCTTTTCCAATCCAGCTCTCTGCTGTGGCCTAGGAAAGCAGCAGAAGATGGCCCAAGTGCTTGGGCCTCTGCACCGCACGGGAGACCAGGGAGAAGCACCTGTCTCCTGGCTTCGGATTGGCATAGCTCCAGCTGTTGCGGCCATCTGGGGAGTGAACCAACGGAAGGAAGACCTTTCTTTCTATCTCTCCCTCTCACTATCTTTAACTCTACCTCTCAAATAAATAAATAAAATCTTAGAAATGGTATTTTTCTCTATAATAGAGAAAAAATGAACAAAAGCGAGAGGTTAGCAGCATTTTTTTCAGGCAACTCTGGGTATGATTGGGAAGAAGCCAGAGGAGAAGCAGAAGAGGAAGCCCCAAAGACTAAGCAGGTGCCTAAGACCTGAGAAGGATGCTAACCTTTAAAGTGAGGGCAATAAAGGGCTTTAAAGGGTTTTGAGCAGGAGACTAGAAGGATCAGATTTAGTTCTCTGTAATGATGCTTCATCCTATAATATGACTCTAGTTTAGGAATACGATACTAATAGCACCTATCATTTACAAGGTTTTTTTCTGCTAGTTTTTGTTCTAAATGTGTATTCCTGCTTCATCTTCTTGGTGATGTATGCTTGAATAACTTCATCTGAGAGTGTGCGGTGTACTGCCCTCTTCAACAGTAACAGCTAATTTGAGCTAACAAAATATTGGCAATCATGCAAAGCTTCCTTTCTCCCTTCCTTTCTGCTTCTCTACATTTCTATCCTCACTGTGGATGAGCATATTGTCACCAGTCAAGGAGATGAAAGAGAATAGAAGCAGAACTTAATGTGTTTCAATTGTCGTAGTTACAATACCAGATCTTACTGTGAGGAGGACACTTGTCAGCATAGGAGAGTCAAGGAGGTGTGTACCTACAAGGCACTCCAGGAAATTTGTGTAAAATTAAATTAAAAGATAAGTTTATTTTGATGCAAAAAATTTTGAATACCATGCACAGTTTTTTCAGGATATGAATTTTCTGTGAACATTCTGAAGACCCTTCATGTTCATGCAAAATTAATTATATATTAAGCTATTTTGCAACCAAAATTCTGATGGGTTCCAACCCTACACTTATTTTTTTATTGAAGGAATTATCCATAAGTACTACAGAATGCTATTACACTTTTACGGATAGTTTTTGGTTTTGAGAAATTCAATTCTTCATCTGATGAACAACTAAGTTAATGCTTTGATCCAGTTTCCCCACAGCTTCAGTTGATTTTCCCTGGAATTTGAACTTGATCAAAATTTTCTGGAACTGCTGTAATCTCCAAGACAAAATTCTTAGAACAGCAACACTGACTAGAAGAACAGGATCAATATTTTAAAATAGTTAATTTTTTTTTTAAATCTACAGTTGTGGAGCTCTTTGTACATTTAGAAAAGAGAAAAGGCAACAATACAATGTCACTAAAAAGGCAATATTTCTGAAGTTAAAAATGCATAAATGAAGTAAGATGAAATTGTCATATCAATTTTCCATATAGGAATCAATAAAATCAACAATCTTTAAAAGGATCAGAGATAGATGAATTGTCTTTGTATACAAGAATCAGTGTAGGTCCCAGATTCACAAGAAATTTCTCTATAAGAAATTTCATCCAACGTAAAGGTGGAATAAGAAATAACAAATGTGTTCCACACTCTGAACGTTGATAAGTCAAGGCCATGGGTGTAACTTTTTAAACATAGTCTATGAAAGACCTGATTCCATAGTTATTTGCTATTATTCCTACCATTAGATAGTGAGTCATAGTGTAGAATCTAAACTGTCATGTTGAGTGACAAATTAGTGGTAGCAGATGGACTGAAGAAATTTAAATAAAAAATAGTAACTATAAAAAGAAAATTAATAGAATTAAGTCTTCCTTGGAATGGGATTATTTCACCTTTGTCTCATAAAGGAATAAGATTTCTTAACACATCACTTGATATAGCATCTCAAATATCCAGGAGATGTGGAAGGAGCTCACTGAAAGAATCAACAAAATGATAGAGAAGTATAGATACTTAATTTAGTTTACCACTGTCTTCCACATGTGCTAGAAAATTTTAAAAATCTTTATATAGACACAAAGAGTGACTAACATCTACTACAGTTTGGTTCATGTTTTCCATGCTTAAGGAATAATTGAATAAACATTGTTTTACTTTCACCTTCTTCTGTTTTTGATTAACCTCAAATTGTACAAATTGTAAGCCCAATTAAAAGCAGAATATCCTGTTGAAATAGCCAGTGTATTTGTAAAGTTAGACAAGCTAAAAAGATTTTTTAAAAAATCACTTTCCAAACAAATATCTAGCAGTCTTTATTGAGTCTGTTTTACCAAAACTAAGAATATTAATAAGCAATTGTTTGATAACTTTTGTGAGTAGCATGATTTTAATTGTCAATACTTAAAAGTAGAATTCTATGGCTAGCAATTTTGAGAAGCTAAAATTCTATCTGTGTTAATATTGCATTTTAAATAGGCATGACAATTTCAGCAAAGGAATAGGGAGTCCCTCATATCACTGCTTTGAATGCAGACTACACAAAAGACCATAATTAAACAATTTGGTTGTCATTAGTCATGCAGATTTTAGATTTAGAGCTTCTTGCTTTGACAATCTTAAACCTAGACTATTGAAAATGCCTTAAGCAAGAGCAGTAGTACCAAAATGCAAATTCCTGCTCTCTTCAATGCAAAGCAATTAGTCTTTTTCATTACTTCATTAATAATGAATTTTTAAAAACAATCTGGCTAATGGTCTCTCAGTGGCCCTATGTTGCCACTGCTCAAAATCAATTTATTACATGCATATGCTAATTTACCCTGCTATTAAATTGCAACAATCTACTGTTGAATGATGCTATCATCCTCTCCTGAAATAAAATGGTACACTGATCTTTCATGTAGTGAAAAACTGAGAGTCACATAACTTTGTCCTGAAGTGTTAGGTAAATACAAAATCACTTTTTAAATTTCTTAAAGACAAATGCATAAATCCATCACTCAAGTGACTACAGAAAAATAAAACAAATACAAGCGAAACAAAACATCTGTCCTAATAAAGGAAAAAAATCTAAAATAGCTGCAATATGAGATATAGGTTTTCCAGTGCAGATGTTCACCCACTCATTAGATTAGAACACAAATCATCTGACTGCTATTGATTAATTTGTATCTATCTAATTAATTTTGTAAGTTGTTATCTGCTGTGATAGTATTATTTGCTTCTCTAAGAGAACCACCACACCAAAAAGCTGTAATTTCTAAATCTTCAAAGGATCTTGGAAATAGATTTCTCTAGTTCATTGAAATGATGGAAGCATGGCTTCCTTTTTAAAAGTTATTCTCTGCTAAATGTTGTTTGCATTATTAGTATGCTTTGTGCCAGAGAACTGTAATGCCATGCATAACATTAGGTAATAAGAAAATGTAAAGGGAACACTATTTAAATGTATATACATCATTAAGCATATTCAAAAGGAGAAGAGTGGGAAGAATTTTTATCTTTAAATAAAGTTTGATATAATTTTTCTTCTAAAAACTAGATACCAAAATAGTGACATCAAATTTACTCAAACATTGCATTTTATAAAATAATACATAAACAGCATTAGAGATATTAAACCTAAAATAATCTCTATGTTGTGTGGAATAGAATAAATGCAGCTATTATACCAAAGCAAATATATTTCCTTTGAGATCTCTGATTGCAAGAAGCAATTGCAATGATCTGTAAATATTCACATTGCACTTTTTTACCCAATGTCAATCTGATCTTTAAATTATAATATGATTAAATGAAAGCATATAAAGACAGTATAGCATTGAAATATGAAACAGGAATTCAAAACATACACAGTTTTTTCTAAAAAGTTAAAGGTGTAGATAGTGAGATAAATAGCACTGTAATTAAAGTTTGACTCAGGTAATTACATTTCACGCTTGTCATAAATGCACAACTCTTGATCCATCTTTCTAAGGGCAATTGCATTACTGGGGCCAGTCCATACTATCAGAAGAAGTGAACTGGTTAATTTAAAGCCAAAACTCTCCTATAAGTTGGGGATGCTGCTAGTGTTTTTACCACACACACGTTTTCTAATGCAATATTCTTATTTAAGTCATCAAGAATAAGCACATGGAGTGTAATCACTTTTTATCATAGTAGTACCATCCTTGTTTTTCAAAACCTATTATTCAGTCCTATTTTCTTCTCCTTACCTGAAGGAAATTTTATTTTGGCAAAGCAGTTTTCCTAGTTATTTTTCTACATATCTATACCACATATCTAAGCAGAATGCACAAAATGCACAAAAGACCCCCCACAGGACACAGTGAAGTGACTTCTCTGGGAGTTACCTGACTTCACATAAAATGGGGAGTAGCCAAAACAAACAAACAAAAAAAAAGCTATCCTCCTTCAACAAGTTGCTAACCAAGAAGAATACATTTTAATTTCCCAGGAAAAGTCTTTCTAAAGAAACAGTAGTCCACAAAGGCAGATAGCACCAGTAATGAGTCTTAATACACAAATATTTTGGGTGGAAATAACACTGAACCAAGCAAAAAGCTTACTCACATTCCTTTCAGGCGTTGCCACATTTTCTCAGTCTGTTCTCCTATGAGATATTTAAAAGTGGTGTTTTCCAATTCTTCAATTTCTGTAGCAGAAGACCCCATGCTGAGGCTCCTAGGGCAATACAGTTACAGTCAATTTCAGCAGCTAGAACAAGCATTCCTTAGGCCACTACAAATCTTAGTTATACAGTAGCATCTCTTATCTATTGAACAGTGCGCAGGTACAAAGCCAACGGAAGCCTTTGCCAGAACTGCTATTGACTTTGACAGGCACATCCACAGCTCACCACATCACCCCCCTCACGCAGACAGCAATATAAACAGATGCTCCGACCTCACAGGAACAAGCCACACATGTAATCTGCTACTGCACTACTGACCGACAGAGTGCTCAAGCTCTCCCCAGAAGCAGCTCATCTGTCACTGTGCGGTGCGCTGAAGCACATCAGAATTCCACAGTTTACGAGCTCTATTATGCACAGGAGAAACGTGAATGACTTTGGCGCCTCAAAAGACGCTGAATTCCTCTCTACTCACGGAAGGAGCACAGGATGGAATGAGAAAACAGATGGCAGGAACCAGGATCATCAACACCCCCCACACCCCAGAGAAAAAACTTCCTGTTTAAATGCCAAGGATTTTGTCTCCTAATAGATCTGCATCCAATACATAAAAATACATCATGTTCAACTAATAAATGCCACAAATATTAATGACAACAAAGAAAAATAGGATATAAAGTCATACAGAAGACAGCACACAGAGCTCCACAGGTTGTTCCTGAAGGAAAATGCCCATCAACCAATGCTGTCATCATGCTTTATCACCTTCTCCTAGCAACTCCACACAGTAGGTAACTGCCAATTTAACCAGGGGCAAGCACCGCAGCTGCACACAGCCTGCTCGTGAATCCTTTGGGAATCAAAAATAAATTAAATGAAACTAGTGTGAATGCATGTGTGTCTATGTGTTGAAAGAAGGAAAGGGTGTGTGTGTGTGTGTGTGTGTGTGTAAGAAACGAGTAGAAAGGGAGGAGAGAGATTGATGCCTGCCTGCCATACTGATTATGCATTTTGGAAGAAAAAGGAGAGTGGACTTAAAAGGAATTAGAACAGAGTCGTCTGCCAAGCTCCCAACACATGGTGAGCTTTCTTTGAAACGAACACAGACTTTGAGTATGAGCTCCATAACAGCTATTGCTATCTGCAAGCTGCTAAGAAAAATACACTTAAAAGCAATATGTCTTCTTGTTTGTTTACAAATCCAGATGTAATATTCCTCCCTGCAAGAAAACTTACCTCTTACCTTGTGTTTTGTGATATAGATATTCAAAGCTAGTAGATAGTACTAAAATCCAATATATGAAGAGTCTCCTAGGTGTCAGATATCTTTTTTTTTTTAATTCATACAAAAGGCATGTAAGGTAGGTGATATTCCTAATTAATAGTTGTAGAAATTGTGAAACCGAGATTTCCTTCAGATTAAAGTCAGTTCTTTAAACATTATTTTAGTCATCAGAGTTTTCCAGTATAAAGTCACTATGTCTGTATAAACATGGATGGCATCTAGAGGTTCTGTACTTGAACAGTATCTCCTTTGGCCATGGAGAAGACACCTGTCTGGCAGGCAGTTCTGTCCAGTATGAGTAGTTCCAATTATGTCTGGTATGAGTACGTCTAGTGAAAGTTGTAATATTTATATAAAAGTAACTGCAAAATTTTGTAGACAATTCCTTCTGATTTACAAATTAGAAGAGGTTAAGTCAAATGAGCATCAGTTTTCCTCTCTCAGGAGATTTCCAGCGCTCAGTCTGAATCTTGTCTTTAGCTAGCACTTTTATTCACTCAAAACCTCACTCCTACGAGCATTTACCAGAGTTGTCCGAAATAAGTTCATCTTTGCTCTGAAAATAACCATTTTATCTTCTCTATGCCTTCATTTACAATAATAGCTAAACTCATACCTGACATTTCTTTAATGCAACAAGCTCTAACTAGATGTTTCTTTCATGAAATAGTCAAAATCTGAATTCTTCCCTGAAATATGAATTGCAACCAGCAATCTCCATAAAACGTGAGTACCCCACCATTATTATATTATGAGCCAAGGTATCAAAGTCCTTGAGACCATAACCCCTTAAAACTTACAAGTGATTTTGTAAATACGCCATGACATTTCAAGCCCTCACATTGGCCAACTGACCAATAATCTTGCAAAGGAAAGAATAGGATTATTCTACTTAAGTACACGATAGTAAATCTTATCCTTCATTGTAAATCATTTGCACTGTGTTTTTAATGTGTTACTTCTATTACATTTGGATATTTAAGAACTCTGAGTCTCACAGTCAAACAGGATGGGTGCATGGGAAACCAGCCACAGAACTGGGCCCTCTCAGCTTCATGGGCTATGCTCAGAACTCCCACTGTCACATGGTACAGACAGTCTACTCTGTGTCCTGCAAGATACCTTGTTCTTAGCCTTGGCAACCTCCAGCAGTGATAGAACTATCTGTTGTTACTCTGCTCAGGACAGAGTTCAGCTCCATCCCCACCACAGCAAATTAATTCTGACAGTTTGGTGGGGATGGGGTGGAGGGAGGCAATGTGGCCTCTCTTGACAGAACAAAGTAGTTGCCCAGACCCCCACCAGCTCCCCACACTGACCTCAAATCCAGGGGAGTGGCCAATGGAATTTTCCCTCAAAGCCACCAGTGTTGGTGTTGCCACAGTAGCATCCCCGCAGCTTACTCTGCTAAGATGGCACTTCCTACTCAGCAGCCAGCCTTGTGGATACTGGATGGCATGACCACACAGCAGGACGAAGTATATCCATCCTCTCTCCACACTGCCCCATGCCATGGAGTCTCTTTTCTGTTATGTTCATCTCCATTGGAAGTTTCTTTCAAGCAGGTCCCTGAGAAAATTGTTCTTCCTTTGTTTGTCTGGTTTCTTTCTGCGGCTGAGGTCAGTGCAACTTCTCACTGTTTAGCCATCTTGCATCCCCCCCCCAATTATTTGTTCTAGTCTTTCTGTACAATAAAGAATTCTCTAATGAATCTTTTTGCATAACAATTCTTGACTATATCTCTATTTTTGTTTTTCTAATTTTTAACTGACACATAAAAACTGTAGATATTTTGGAATACTGTATGATGTTTCAGTACATGTAATTCATTGTGTAGTATCCAAATGATATTAAATGTATGTATCTTCTCCAATATTTATCATTTCATCATGGTTAATATATTCAAAATCTTTTCTTTGTACTCTTTTTTATAGAAATATACAATACTTATTGTTATCTATAGTCACCACAATGTACAATGGAATCCAATAACTTTTTACACCTATCTATAACTTACACCTCTGATAACCACCATTATAATCTCAACTTCTATGAGTTAATTTTTTGAGATTCCACATATAAGTGAGATTATACATTACTTGTCTTTCTGTGCCTAGTTTATTTCACATAATTTAATGACCTCCAGTTCCATCCATGCTGTTGCAAATGATAAAATTTTAACCTTTTTATGACTGAGTAGTATTATACTGTGTATATTACCACATTTCTTTATGCATTGGCCGCGGCTCACTTGGCCAATCCTCTGCCTGCAGCGCCGGCACACCCGGTTCTAGTCCTGGTCGGGGCGCCTGATTCTGTCCCGGTTGCCCCTCGTCCAGTCCAGCTCTCTGTTGTGGCCCGGGAAGACAGTGGAGGATGGCCCAAGTGCTTGGGCTCTGCACCTGCATGGGAGACCAGGAGGAAGCACCTGGCTCCTGGCTTCGGATCGGCGCAGCACGCCGGCCATGGCAGCCATTTGGGGGGGTGAACCAATGGAAGGAAGACCTTTTTCTCTGTTTTCTCTCTCACTGTCTAACTCTGTCTGTCAAAAAAAAAATTTCTTTTAATTTCATTGAATTGTATTGTGGCCTCTATCAAGCAATATATTTTTATATATACTTCTATTAGTCCCAGAAGCATCTATGCTATTTTATTGCTCAGGTAAAGCAATGATAATCCTCTATTATTATTGTTGTCTATTCTTATATATGTTCCAGAGTTTTATTAAGTTTTTGAAACATTTAAAATTGCACTTAATAGATTCTATTTTCTAACACTTTATCTAGGCATACATTATCTGTTAATGTCACATCAAAATTTCAATTATTCTACCCATTTAATAAATGATGAATACTGAGCTCAGAGAAATTAAGCTCCTTAGCTTGTACATGACAGGCTCAGTATTTAAACCTCGATGTGTATAATTTCAAAGCCTGGATTCTCAAATGCTTTACTGCATTGTCTCTTAGTTTAAAGGTAATATATCTTGTTAGAACTAAGTATTTTCGGTGGCATGTACCAATGCCATCTCACTAGTCCAAGAGATCAATTTCTGTTCACAATTGATCATAATGAAAGGACTAAGAGTCAAAGGCATCACATAAGCAAGACTTGTGTCTGCTAATACTAACCGATAGAATAAAAAAAGGGAGAAAACGATCCAACATGGGAAGCGAGATACTCAGCAGACTCAGAGAATGGCAGATGTCCTAAACAGCACTCTGGCCTCAGAATCAGCCCTAAAGGCAATCGGATCTGGCTGAAAAGCCCATGAGAGTATTTCAGGCATGGAAAGCCAAGACACTCTGGGGAAAAAAAAAAATTACCTAAATGAAAGATCTCTGTGAGTGAGATCCCAGTGGAAAGAACAGGTCCTCAAAGAAGGAGGTACCTTTCTCTGAAGGGAGGAGGGAACTTCCACTTTGACTATAACCTTGTCTAAATAAGATCGAAGTCGTCGAACTCAAAAGGCTTCCACAGCCTTGGAAACTCATGACTGGAGCATAGGGAGATTACTGATGCAATAAACAGGAGTGTCAATTTGTAAAGTCAACAACAGGAGTCACTGTGCACTTACTCCTCATGTCGGATCTCTGTCCTTAATGTGCTGTACATTGTGATTTAATGCTATAATGAGTACTCAAACAGTATTTTTCACTTTATGTTCTGTGTGGGTGCAAACTGTTGAAACCTTTACTTAATGTATGCTAAACTGATCCTCTGTATATATAGAAAATCGAAAATGAAACTTGATATGAATGGAAG